ATATATTTATAGATATCTATATATACAACTTGCAGAAAAACTCAGGTCCATAATGCACATATTTTGGTAACCTACTTTTTAAAAAACTTTTATTTTGGAATAATTTTACATACACAGAAAAGTTACCCAAGATAGTACAGAATATATGTACTCTATACCCAGCTTCCTCTAATGTTAACATTTTACGTAACCATGGCATAATTTTCAAAGCTAGGAAATTAACATTGGTGTAATATTACTAATTGGTAACCGACTTCCACAATATAAAATGTATTAAGCATTTCCTCACAAAAGCAGGATCTTAATAGCAAACTCTAAATGTTCCATAGTTTATTAAGTTCTTTTTCTATTGTGGGCCATTTCATTTTTTCCAAAATTTTTATTATAAATAACAGTGATAAATATGCAAGTTTTAAAATTTTAACATTAAAAACATTTGCATTGATCTTAGATTTTTTTCCTCAGAATTCTCAGAAATAAGTTCTAGGTCAAAGGATATCATTTTTTTTTTTTTTTCTTTTTGAGATGGGGCTTTGCTACTGTTGCCAGGCTGGAGTGCAGTGCTGCAATCCCAGCTCACTGTAACCTCTTGAGTTCAAGTGATTCTCCTGCCTCAGCCTCCCAAGTAGCTGGGATTAGTGGCACATGCCACCATGGCCGGCTAATTTTGTGTTTTTATTAGAGACGGGTTTCACTATGTTGGTCAGGCTGGTCCTGCATTTTTAAGTATCTTGATTCATTTTGGCAAATTACCATACAAAAATATTAAGGTGGTCTTGTTTTGTATCTAGGGGTATCCGTTTGATTCTTGGATAGAAGCCAAAATATATTTAACAAAAATTGACCCCTAACTCGCAGGGATTTTTCATGCAATATAGTATAGTAGAAATAAACCAGAGTTGGAGTCAGGCTAACCCCGTTGCAACCACATACTACCATTTCTACAAATCACTATTTCTTTTAGCTTCATTCTCTTTATCTGCAAAATCAGTTGGTATACCCTGTAGTGCTGTGAAGATTAAATGTGCTAGATCTGTATGAACATGCTTCAGACTGACTGGCTCATAGATGCTCAACAAATGTTCGATTCTATCTTTATTTTCCCCCTAAATCCCTTAGATCAATAATTTTTGTATAGATGAGTTAGAAACATGAAAAGGGGGTGTTAATATTTTCCATCTTACGTTTGTACAGGGACCTTTGAAGAGGAGATTTAGGTCTTAAGGAAAAGAAAAGAGCCATCAGACACTAATACAGATAAAATAAGAAATGTATATGCATCAAGTCCTCATTATGTTAGTTTTAGAAATTCTAGTTGGAAATTGTATTTGTAATTTGAAGCTCAAGACCTCCTAATCAAATTCCCACCGTGTTAACCCTTGTTTTTGTTCATTATCTCACATAACAAGAACCACAGAGGTTGGGCAGCTTTAGGTTCAGTACCATCAACAGCTCAATGATGTCATTAGGGAAAGTGTACTTTCCATCTGGTTGTCATACTCATTATGTAAGCTTGACTGTAAGATTGGCTTCTCTGGGTAACCGGAAGCCTAGAACCATTCACATTAAGACACAGTGTTTACAGAGGCAGGAGATCTTCTGCTCTATCTTCTGATATCTCTCAGACGCCTCTTAAAAGCTCTCCCCTCACTTCTCATGCACCAGTAGCAGGTTTAAATGCCCTCTTCTAAAACAACCAATGTTAAGTAGAGAAGGAAGGGTTGAGTGGGTTTAGACTGACAACATCCGTCTTTGCCTATGGGAGCTTCTGAGTCACATGGAGAAAAGATGATCTGACAGATCCAGAATTGCCTTTTTCAGCAATAAGGCATAAGAATGGGTGTTCAGCAGCTTGCCAAGAGTACCTGAGTCAGAAATGTAACTGGAATATTTAAATTTGGCTTAACTAATCTTTTTAAGGACTAGTATGTTCCCCAAACTTATCATTATAAAAGGTAGCAAAACAGAAATATTATTCTTAATCATAACATTTGTATGAGTTTGAGTTTCAAAACATTTAGCATATATGTTATTTTAATTCTTATAGCTAAAGTACAAGATAGTTGATACTGACATTCTCTTTTAATGGACGAAGGAGGCAGCGAAACTGGCCCAAATGTCCCATAGAACATGATGTTTATACTTTCTTTTGAATAAACACAGAAATTGATCATCCCAGTCTTAAAACTTGAGAAAGTTACATTTATTATCCAAGTTCTTATCTGCATTCTTTTCTCAGAAAACCAACCATCAGTCCTCCCAGATCGCATCAAGGAACTGAAGCTTACCAGATCATTGCATCTGGACAGTGAGACACTAGACGTCTCACCCATCCTGATTGCCTTACTGACAGCTTGCTTCCTGCTGACCAGCTCTTCTTCCTTACACCTCTTTAATACCTGTTTTCCCACACGTGGTTACATTTCTTCCCTGCTGTATAAATTCCTAATTTTAGTTGGTTAGGGATATAGATTTGAGACTTATCTCTCATTTCCTCAACTGTGGCACCTGATTATAGTCTTCTTTCTTAGCAATACCCATTGTCTCAGTGATTGGCTTTTTGTATGATGAGCAGAAGAACCAAGACAGGACCCCTGGTATTGCAATAACAGCAAGACTCAGGAAGATGAAAGGATTTCCTATGAACTACACAGCTAATAAATAACCACATCAGATTTCAAGCCTAGTTCTTATTGTCGCAATCTCCATTGTTTCTATGACCCCCAAGCTACATTTTGGAAAAGAGAAGTCACTTAAAATCTGTAAACTTTCTGGTGGACCATAAAATTGTGAGGTAAAGATTTTGTGTGCCAGTGGGAGGGTTGTTCTGGAAAGGGATGAGTCTTTAAGGAAAAAGATCTTTAAGGAAAAGGATCCTATGTTCTGCTCTAAAATGAAATTACAGGGATGCCTGAAAAAGGAGATGAGGAAGGAAGAACAGAGGACTTTTCTTTAATTTTGGAGGTGGTTTCACTAGGATTAGACTAGGTTAGGATTAGACTAGATTAGGTTAAAGCACTTGAGAGCTATTCCTGTCTTTGGAAATGGCAGCCGGGTGAAGGAAGATGGTGTGTGAGAGTCTCTACCATTATCTTCTGAGAGTTTATCAGCAACCATTGGTCATTGGTCAGAGGGAGCAAGAGTGCATGCCCCCCCCCCCCATTGGCACTCTTTGCAGAATACAGGTGCACACAAGTTCCTTAAGTAAAGGTGGTCCTGGACAATTCTGCCTTCCTGATATTCTTAAGAGAAGTCTTTAGTGAATCCTCGTATCTAGCTTAGCTGTCTCAACACACCATTGCCCACATCCATTTCCTGTAAATAATCATATTCTTATATTTTCATTTCTAAAAGTGGATTTCTGCATAAGTCTTTGATATCTGAAAATCAAACCCACCTCCTCGTTAAGCATCAAAAACAAGTAAAATAACTTTTTTATACTCAAAAGGATATATTTCAATATGTGGCATGTTCCAACAAATATTCATTTATTGCCTGCTATGTGCCGCGAACAGTATTAGCATCTGGAGTGCACAACAATGAGTAACAGCAACAACAAGAAAGGCATTTGTCTTAATGGAGATTCCATTGTAATGGGAGCAGTGTTCAGCAAGAAAGAAAGAATGAACAAGGTAGTTTCATAGTGTGATAAATTCCATAGAGAGAACTAATAGGATGGTGTGTGATAAAGAAGAATCATGGAAGATCCTCAGATGTAACAGTGAGCTAGCTGAAATCTAGAACCTGCTTTGGGAACAGCCTGGGGAGAAGAATTTTAGGCAGAGGGAATACAAATGAGAGTCTTTAAAGGGGTAGAACGTTTGGCCAACGTCCTGAACATAAAGTAGGGTGGATTCGAAGAATCAGAGAGAGAGTAGAGAAGATTAGCATGGTGGGCAGTTGGGGAGGTTGGAGGGTTGGTGTGGTGGGTGGTAGAGAGTTTGAATTTATTCTAAATGCAGTGAGTCAAAAAGTGGTTTTGCTTTGTTTTTTTGAGATGGAGTTTTGCTCCATCGCTCAGGCTGGAGTACAGTGGCTCTATCACTGCAACCTCAGCCTCCCAGGTTGAAGCGATTCTCCTGTCTCAGCCTCCCGAGTAGCTGGGACTACAGGCATGTGCCACTACATCCAGCTACTTTTTGTATTTTTAGTAGAGATGGGGTTTCACCATGTTAGCCAGGATGGTCTCAATCTCCTGACCTTGTGACCCACCCACCTTGGCCTCCCAAAGTTCTGGGATTACATGTGTGAGCCACCGTGCCCAGTCAAAAGGAGCTTTAAGTAAGGGAATAAGATAATCTGATTAGATAGAAGCCAGGATAGTATGGTCAAAACACAGAAATAGCCTCCCTGATAAAATATATTTCCAGCAATAGAGACCAAATTGATGTAAGAGTTGTCATTACTGATACTGTGTTTATCGTCAGGTGACATCCAGGGTCTCAATTGACAACTGTAAAATAAAACAAAGTCTTGGCTCAAGGAACTCCTCCCAATTCTGTTTTACTTCGAATGAATTGTGGAAGAGAAACCCTTATCTTAACCTAGACTCTTATTACTTATAACAACATCATTTTATCATTAGATGATGAATGATCAGATGTATGTGTGTTTTCCTGTTTGTCAAAGATCAAAGTGTGAAGGTGAAACCTACTAATGTGAAACAATTGACTATGAAATCACAAGTATTACTGCCAGTTTTTGAAAATATTTTCACTTGGGTTTGGGAGAGAAAAAAATAGTTAGCAAGAATGTAGTATTCCAGGATATCAAGACTTGATGGAAGCACCAGAAGATGATGTAGGTGGTATTGAGAGCAAGTAAGTAAGAAATATAATGGTAATACTTTAAATAACAATCACAGTGACAATAACGTATTCAACAAAGATTGTGAGGCTTGTTTAAAGAATTGGAAATGGTAAGGGAAATAGCAAATATTCATTCGGACTCTAAGCTCTGACTGTCTATCCCCCTCAACCCCATATATTTTTTTTTTTCAGATTCACATTATCTAACTTGCCGAATGCAGAACTGTACAGAGGCCAACAGAAATAAACCTTTTCCGGGCTACATTGACCCAGACTCTTTGATTGTTCAGGATGATTATGTGTTTGTTCAGGTATGAAAGATCCACTTCTGTTGATTGTCTCAAAAACTTTTTTTTTCCCTTGTCTATCCCTGTTGCAGTCCCTTTTGCCTGCTTTACACTCCATTAAGAGAGGAAGGGAGGGAGGGAAGAAAGGAGGGGGGGGAGAGGGGGAAATCACTGTCTTTTCAACAAAAGGATAATGACTGAGTGTGGAATCTTCTATACTAGTAGAATAGTAATTAGTTTCTTTGGGCTGTGTCCGGAGGATCTTATCAACATGGGGTCACGAAGGCACCGCATAGAGAGTGAGTGAGATTGTCTCTAGGATGATGTGCAGTTCCATCTGTCCCCCACACCTGCATTCCAAAGAAGCTCCCAGTTATCAAAGGGACTGAACAACTATGTCAGTCTCTTTCTATCTGGGGAGGGGTCAGCCAGTCAGCCCCCTCCCCAATACCCACCTTAAAAATGGAGAAGCAAGAATGGGAAGGGAAGCTGTGGGGTGGCTGGAGAGAGTGGGAGGCAGAGGCCAGGGGGAGAGTAATCAGCTTTTATGGTCGTGCACCAACTGTGACTGGAATAGAGACACTTCAGAGCGTATGTATTCAGCCAGGTTTTCACCCCGAGAGAGTGGGGAACAGTGTGAGAAGCTGAAGTTTTCTGAGTTGTTAGTAGAGAAAAGAAGTAAATATGCTGCACTGCTTTTCAGCATTCAAGGAAAATTTAAGCCTGTGCGGGCAATGTGTTAGAAAATTCAGTTACTGCCTTCCATGTTAAAAATGACAAAGGGACAATTGCTAAATAGCTTATACATAGATATAAAATTTCACTACAATTGAGACCCATTCTAGACAGAATTATATTCATTTGGACAATAAATTGTGATTTAGAATATTTAATTACATGCTTTGAGGAAGCAATTTGTTTAAATGCCCACCAGCCTGTGTACTTTTAAAATGTTTTACAAATGATCTCTCTCTCTCTCTCTCTCTCTCTCTCTCTCTCTCTCTCTCTCTCTCTCTCTCTCACACACACACACACACACACACACACACACACAGTCCCCATTTCTTTATTCTTCAGGGAAATTAGTAATTAATACTGTGAAATTTTCAGCATCAAATTCTCAAGTGACATTTGAATAGTTACACGTATTGGTTCTGTCTATAAGTCATTTATATATCAGTGCTGCTCCCAGGAACCTTTGCTGGTTTCTAATAACAGTTAGAAATTCTGCATTTAGAATTTCATAGTCTTTACCCATGCCACCATGAACATCCCATAACCCCTCATTAGACCCAAGAGGTGATCTGGCCACATGATGGTGAAGATGATAACTTTCCAAGTCACATTCCTAATGTGATAAACATTCACATTTATTGACATTCTGAGTATGCAAACTCCAGCTGCCATTCAAACTCCAGGCATTTATGAGGGTTAAGAGTGGCTGCGAAGGGGAGAGAGAGAGAGACTGGTGGTGGTGCCCTTGACACTGTGCCCTGCATGTTGTTCTTATGCTGGGGTGGAGACCACACCCCTTCCTGCCCTCTCTCACACCCACCAGGATTCATTAGGCTGCATGCTTTGGATAAGATTGGAGGACAGCTGGCTATGGCGGCACCTGCTTGTAGTCTCAGCTGCTGAGGATTACTTGAGCCCAGGAGTTGAAGGGTACAGTGAGCCATGATTATGCCACAGCACTCTAGCCCTGGGCAATAAACTGAGACTTGTCTCTAAAAAATTTTTAATAAGCCTTGTATGGCTATTATCAGGCCATATCATGCCTGTAATCCCAGCGCTTTGGGAGGCCGAGGCAGGTGGATCATCAGAGGTCAGAAGTTCAAGACCAACCTGAGCAACATGGTGAAACCCCCCTGTCTCTACTAAAAAAAAAAAAATAGCAGGACATGGTGGCAGGGGCCTGTAATCTCCCCATATACTTCGGAGGCTGAGTCAGTAAAATAGCTTGAACCTGGGAGGCGGAGGTTGCGGTGAGCCGAGATGGCACCATTGCACTCCAGCCTGGGTAACAAGAGGGAAACTTCTCTAAAAAAAAATAATAATAAAATAGAAGAGACCTAGAGTGACTTTGGACAACAGTCCTAGCCTGGTTTTCTGTCTAAGGTGCCAGCATTCCTGTCTGTGCCATATGCTCATAATCATCAATGTAGCACCATCACACTGGAATTCAGTGCCCAGAGATGTGAGGCTCCAGCTCTGCCACTGTTTGAGCTGGGCCATTTCCTTCTGATACAGCACAGGGACCTGCTTATAGGGTCATAGACTTGGATCCAGAGACCTGGGCCGGTGATAGCAATGAGCCAGTGTGCCCCAAGGTTAGTATCATTTGAAAAAAAAAAAAAAAAAAAACTCAAAATGCATTCTGGCATCTGAGCCACAGTGCAAACTTAAGAATTGTGTTTTTGTCTAGTTGGTTCAGTTTGGGCCTCTGAGTGGCTCACGTACTCTTTATAAGTTGTGTTTGAACTGAATGCCAAACTTTACACTTGTCCGCAATAGACATTAGTGCCATTTGTTGTGTTGGAAGCTACTTTTTTCCATTCAGGTGGCTGCTCTGTGACGTGTACCTGTTATAGTAGCTCCTCTCACAGTCTTGTTTTTATGATCTAGCTGACATCAGGAGGGCGGCCACATTACTACGTGTCCTACCGAAGGAACACGTTTGCCCAGATGAAGCTTCCGAAATATGCTTTGCCCAAGGTATGGCCTGAATCCCTTTCTTCATTACACTCTTGCCTCTTATTCACAGAAGCCATTCTCCATCCCCTTTCCCAAGGACTCTTTTAGACTCTCATAGTCATTTCTTCTTTACATTTCTCATCTCTGTTTCACAAGTTCACTCTGCCCTGCTGTCTTTGGTCAGTCTCGTTACCCTCCTCTTGTTCCCTCCCCCTTTCCCACCTCATTCCCTCCCCCCCCACTTGTAGTCTCAGCTACAATCTTCCCTTCCTTCCCCCACTTGTAGTCTCAGCTCCAACCTTCCCTCCCCTCCCTTCCCCTCCCCTCCCCTCCCTTCCCCTCCCCTCCCCTCCTCTTCCCTCTCCTCCCCTCCCCTTCCCCTCCTTTCCCTTCCTCTCATTGTTGCTATAGGAGCATTCTTATGAATTAATAATTGATTTGCTTTTGCTTTTCAATAGTAAAGGTTTTCAAGCTGTATCTATTGGTTTTCTAACAAGATAGAAGATATTTTTTGGATGTGTTGTGTGTCAGTGCAACAGCTGCGGTCCATTTCTGTGCCGTTTGATTATCAGTTATTTACTGAGTGGCGATGCCATGACGTGGCACCAGCCTTTGCTTTCCCTCTCTGCCAATCAGCTCCCTGTAAACTTATGAGCCTGGTTGTCTGTAGAGTTCTGAGGCACAGTTCATTTTTTAGACTTCCCCAAAGGCATATCCTTTGGAAAACAGTGGCAAACAAAAGTTAAACCCCCTCCGCTGCGGACAACCCGGGGCTGTCTTTCCAGAAGTGCTGAACTGCGTTAATATGGAGTGCCACCTAGTGGAGGTCAAACTGATTTCGGAGCTCAGAGCTGTGCATTTGGCATCTTGCTGCCAGCATGATGTATTTAAAGTGACTAGAAACTGTAAATGTATTGTGCCTTAATCCTAGAGCAAGGGAGACATATGTGGCTATAAGAAAGGGACTCTGCAGGTTTAAATAGAGTTATAGCTCAACTTTGAAGCCTTTGGGATGCACAAATAACACACATAACTTTTTTTTTAATTGAGTTTCCATGCCTCTTTCTCTAATATTTTCATCTGTGACTTTGTAGTATGCTGTCTTGAACCAACACCAGATAGCTGCCTGGGAAGTCATATGCTAGACGTAACACAAGGGCACAGCAGGCCTCCTCTCCTGGGAGAGGCAGTGGTAAAAGATTGTTCTGGCTTCTCCAGGCTGAATTTCTCTTTCTTACCACCCTTCCCTGATCCTAACATAGTGAAAGGTGGGCTGTTAGCCTCAGCCCATTAGAGGTAATAACACACATTGAGTTACACTATTAATTCCAAAGAACGATAGCTGTGTTCGTAGTTATTATTTTCAGCTGCTGAGAGATTAATGGCTGTGGTAATTATCTGGAACTGTATGTATGTCTGTGTCTGTATACATTTAAGTTCTTGTTGTTCTTGACGTGGGAAGTGTTTTGTTTTCCAATAAGACAAGAATTTACAACACTGAGGTTGTGCCTTAGATAAGAATTGGATAGCATCACTATGAAAGAGGAAAACTGAATGCTGTTCAAATTACTCTTGATAATCTCTTAGGAAGGTCTGTCAGAAAAATGAACATGTTAACTCAATAAATACAACAGAGCTGGGGTTTTCTTTCCTCTTGAGCACCGAAATAAATTGTTGTTTCTTTGATTGACTAATAAATGAAGTAGTAGGCTTGCAGGATTTGCACCTTAGAAAAAAAGAATTATGGCGTGCTGCTGTCTTTCACGAGGTATGTGGGAATGGAGATCATATCAGGAAACAGCCGATTAGAGACACTCATCTCATGCGTACTCTTGGGAATAGACTATTTGTTTTTTAGATGGAGTGTCACTCTGTTGCCCAGGCTGGAGTGCAGTGGTGTAATCTTGGCTCACTGGGTGACCTCTGCTTCCCAGGTTCAAGCGATTCTCTTGCCTCAGCTTCCCAAGTAGCTGGTACTACAGGCTTGAGCTACCACACCTGGATAATTTTTGTATTTTTAGTAGTGACAAGGTTTTACCATATTGGTGAGGCTGGTCTTGAACTCCTGACCTCGTAATCCACCCTCCTCGGCCTCCCAAAGTGCTGGGATTACAGGCATGAGCCACTGCACCCGGCTGAGAATAAACTGTTTAAGTGGAATAAGTCTTGATCAAATCAAATGCTATTTGTTACATAATTGAGGCTAGAAATCAAGTCTCCTGACTCTCAAGGTAGTACTTTTATATTTTCTTATCTTGAAGGTAAATTAATAGTGTATGTTATTAAAACATAGCATCATCACCTGCCCCCCCCCCTCAAAATTCCATATACTGTCAGGAGCATTAGGAGGAAAATTCCTGGCTGGGCATGGTGGCTCATGACTGTAATCCAAGCACTTTGGAGGCCAAGGCGGGCAGATCAACTGAGGTTGGGAGTTCAAGACCAGCCTGACCAACATGGTGAAACCTTGTCTTTAAAAAAATTTTTTTAAATTTAAAAAAGAAGAAAATTTCATTGACTTAAGGTACCCTAGAAATCATAGTTTAAAATCACAGAAACATTTGTAGACTCATTGCTGGAAGTTTGGGAAACAAATACTTTGCATTGCTTGTTCATAGCCATCACACAAATCACTGCTGATGGTTGGCCCCGGTGGCATCTAGCCAGTATGGAAAGAAAACGTTTTACTTTGAACCTGAATTTGCATCTTTGCTCTTCCTTCTGTTCTCCCAGAAGACCGTGGTCCATTACTCAGTCTCATCTGGGTCTGAAGGTAGAATGCAGTGATTAATTTAGCTTGTTCCCAGAAAAAATGAGGGCTAGTACAGCAAATGAATGTATTATTTGGTCCAGATGGGTGTTTATTACTTAAGGCAACGACATTCTTTATTACGGTCCCGTTATACCTTCAAAAAGAAGCCCCAGCTTGGGGTGGAGTGATCTGTGACAAAGTTACATCTATTTCATGGCCTTCTGTCAGAGTCAGGGCTGGTGCAACTGGAAATGAACAAAGCTTCAGGCCAACCAAAGGAATCGAGACAAATTGGCATGTTTATGCTCAGTTTTCTTTTCTTTTCTTTTTTTTTTTTTTTTGAGATGGAGTTTTGCTCTTGTTACCCAGGTTGGAGTGCAATGGCATGATCTCGGTTCACCGCAACCTTCAACTCCTGGGTTCAGGCAATTCTCCTGCCTCAGCCTCCCAAGTAGTTGGGACTACAGGCACACACCACCATGCCCAGCTAATTTTTTGTATTTTTAGTAGAGGCAGGGTTTCACCATGTTGACCAGGATGGTCTCGATCTCATGATCCACCCACCTCAGCCTCCCAAAGTGCTGGGATTACAGGCTTGAGCTATGCTCAGTTTTCTTTAATCACCCACTACCATTGTATCAGCTCTTGAAAGACCGTAGTCACCCTGAGCTGTGCTAAAGACATATTTAATAATATAGTAGTAAAGAATGATAGCGGGTGGGGAGATTTTAATATTGCTGTTGCCATTAAGAGCATGTAGCCCTCCAGACAGGGAACCTTAGTGACAGTCTTCCTTCCTTTAACTTGCTTGAAACCCATTCTGAGCTACTCAAGTGAGATAAATGAGGGAATACATATGACAGTGCTTTGAGCCTTTTGGAGGACAGATACTAAAGGCAAGGTAATATTATTAGTACGGACTAGTTGTCGGGGAAAATGGATGTGGACCAGGATGCAGGTGATGTGAAGGCTGTTTGATTTGCAGTGGGAAACCCGGGTTAGGGAGCCAGACCTGTCACTACCTTGCTTTGAAACCTTGGGCTAGTTTGTCAGTTTCTCTTTTCCTCATTTTTTTTTTAAATAAGGAGCTTAGATTCACAACAATATTTTCTCATATGTGTTCCTTAGAATAAAATGTTCTTAGTACTCCTTTCTAAGAATTTGGTTCTGTGGTCAAATATATCTGAAAAAAAGAAATAAACTGCATGGTGTTTCTTGCCGAGAGAGTAGCAGTGCCTTGCTGGTATGTTGAAGGTTTGGAATGTCCAGTGAGCAAGAAAACTCTTTAATTCCCCATTCATTAAAATGTTTTACCAAAGGATTCCTTCTTCCTTTTCGAATCTATTAAAATTCTAACAACATTGTTATCCTACAGAGCGGACTTTAGAAAACGCTTCAATACAAAATCTGTAAGATCACATCCTGCTCTCAAATCCTGTGATTCGGTTAAAGCATTCAACATAAAGTGCCACTTTGGGAGAAAAAGCACATTTTTACCCATAGAAACAGGATTTAGGGAAGGAGAAAACAGAAAGAATATATATAAATATTTCAAACTGTTCAATTAAAATACTTAAGACCTAGTTCTTGGAGCAAAGGATTGTGACTTGGAGAAAAGAAAAAATAATAAAATAAATTATTTAACACCAATATCATTTGAAAATGGCTGTTCAACATAATTATCTGTAGCAAAGGAAGGATTGGAACTCAGCCCATATCTAGAGATGGACATTAAAATCTGTTATCATTGTGTGACCAGTTCTTTAAGTGACTGAGACCACAACATTTGATGCATCTCTGTTTTCCTTTCCAATTCTACAAAATAAAAGCTTGGGAGAAGTGGCTTGTAGAGGTGATACAGTTTACTCTTCCAGCCTAGGATTATTTAATCAAATGTTTATTGTGAGAAACTCAGAGGTACACTAATGCAGAAATTCACTGTAAATCACAGAAGTGGGAATTAGCTATGCAGAGGTCAGGTTATTATTGAAATATTTTAACTTGGCTTCAGGGATTATGATGCATCTTACTGACAATGAAGGGAGGATGAATTGGGAATAGTTGTATGATGCTTCTTAATGCCAAGGTAAAGAGTGAGGTCTTTTCCCTGTAGGATGGGGAGCCATGGGAGGATTGGTCTTCAATGCAGGAACAACTCTGAAGCCAATTTCCACAGACAAGTCTCTCCATTAGAAAGAAACCAAACACTCGGGTATAGCTTCTCCTGGTTCAAAGAATTTTAAATTTTATTTTAAACAACAACAAAAACACTTTAGTGAACCACTTCTTGTCATGTATATAGTTAGGACTTGAATATTTGCAGTAAACAGAAAGGCCAACTCAACCTGGCTTAATCACCGAAGGGGATGTAGGGGCTCACTTAACAGGATAGCTAACATATCTAGAGCATATGCTAAGTCCCAGGCAGTATTAGAAGAGCTTAACACTTATTAACTGATTCCATCCTCAGCACTCCATGGGGAATTCTACTATCTGTTTTGCAGGTTGAAATTGTGAGACACAGAGTTTCATTAACACGGCTAAGTTACAGAGCCAAGGTTTGAACTTAAGTCGTTTTACTCCAGTCCATTCTTCAGCCACTTGGCTAGACTGTCTTCTTTAACTGAAAAGTCTGGAGGTAGGATCAGCTTCTGAAATGTCCAAATTTAGGGACCAAAAGATGTTACAGGATTGGGCCATCTCTCTTCATCTACTTTTTTTTTTCTGTTTTTTGAGATGGAGTTTTGCTCTTGTCACCCAGGCTGGAGTGCAATGGTATGATCTCGGCTCACCACAACCTCCATCTCCCAGGTTCAAGCAATTCTCCTGTCTCAGCCTCCCAAGTAGTCAGGATTACAGGTGCCTGCCACCGTGCCTGGCTAATTTTTGTATTTTTAGTAGTGGCAGAGTTTTACCTCGTTAGCCAGGCTGGTCTTGAACTCCTGACCTCAGGTGATCCACCCGACTTGGCCTCTCAAAGTTCTAGGATTACAGGCATGAGGCTCTGACCCTGTTTTCATCAGGGTTGGCATCATCCTTTACTTCCAAGATATGTCTCCAGCAGATCTGGAGTTTTCCTTTTTATTCTTACTGCTTATAAACCAATAGTGAGATACTAATTTTGTCTCTCCTTAGTAACTCCACAGTCATTCTAGAAACAAGTCATATTGACTTTTTGTGGGTCACATGCCCATTACCTATTCAGTTGTGGTTGCCAGAGAAATGGAGTACCTGAATGCCAGTTCTAAAAGCTCATTTCTGGTGCTGCTGGTAGAATAAAGTAGAAAATGTTTAGATTTAATACAGAAATATATCTGAGAAGGATGAGGCTGTTTTAAAAAAAAAAACATACATCTGTGCCTGAGGACCTGTGCCTCTCAGGTTCTGTATTATATGGAAAATATTCAAAAAATTAATAACAATATAATAAAAAGTAATACATATTAAATAATTGATACGACCATTTACATAGGTTTTATATTGTATTAGGTATTACAAGTAAACCAGAGATGATTTAAAGTGTACAGGAGGACATGTGTAGGTTACATGCAGATATTACACCACTTGATATAAGGAACTTGAGCCGCGCTGGATTTTGGTATCTGAGGGCAACCTTGGAAACAGTCCCCCTGCAGATACCTAGAGAGAGCTGTAATTATCAGAAGAAATGTAAACAGACATTCAATAGATAGAAGCACACATTAGATTAACGGGCAGGATTCATTTTTTGGCTTCTCCACTTGTGGTTCTTTCTACAAAAATTGTTATGAAACTCGAATATGTCATACGGAACCTGAGTAGAGGTGAGAAATATGAAGCCCTTTGGATATGGACATCTCCCTCTGGGATATTGAGTTTACTGTGATAAAGGGTAAAGAGGAGAGGGAGTCTTGTTCCTATACGTGTAGAGCAGGGTCCGAGCTGAAATGCTGCTTGATTGAGAGCATGGGCATGTGTGACCATGAGAAATTTAGATTCGCAGTTAGGTAGAATTTCCCCGCACTGAAATTGTTAGGAGGATTGTCAGATCTCCTGAAGCTTTTCAAAAATAGAATACGGTGCGGTGGGAAGATTTGAGTACTAAGCTGTGCAAAAAGCAAGAATCGTCCTACGTTGCTCTTCTGCCTTTGTGGTTATATGCAAGTTTTGTTTTTGTTTGTTTTGGTTACTTATCTTTAATTTTTGGATTTTAGAAGTTGTTTTAGGTCTACTTTCTTCAGCAGAGGGTAAAATGCAGCGAAGAACATGAACAGACATCCCCTAAAGAGGACAGCAGGCCTTGGTCTGAGTCAGCAAGCTTTGGTCTGTGGTAGCTTCCATTGTACTTCTCTAGAGTTATGGATGGGGCGGGAAAGAATTTGAAATTCCCACTCCAGGAGCATGTGCTCACTGCCTCCTTGCTACTTTTGCTTTCATTCTATCTTCCAGGACCACCAGGGCCTGAAAACATTGTCAGTTATGCAGACTTTTACCCTTTTTCACTGGAGGATTCCTGCAGAACCTCTCAGTTTAGGTTTTGATGAGCAGCTGAGTCTTTGAACACACAACATGAAGGGTACTTTGGGTTTCTCCGGCGAGCTTTCTTAGGGCTGAAGGCAGAGGAGACTGGCTGGGAGTTGCTGAACCTTAGGGCAGTGCTTTTCAAACTTTAATATGCGTGATAATTACTTAGCAATCTTATTAAAATGTAGATTTCCATTCACCAGGTGAGGCCCAAGGTTCTACATGTTTAACAAGGTTACAGGTAATGTCCTTGCTGATGGTCCATGAACCACGCTGAGAGATGCAGGGTTTGTGTATTTTCTCTCGATCCCCCCAGCTTTTCCTCGTATCTGCCCCATATATGCCTTCTGAGCAAGTATCATATTTATGCTTGGCAAAAATATCAGGACAATTGATTCTCCAAATCATACATATTAAAGAATTTTTCCAATTATGTAATGAGGCAATTAAAACAGCTCCCAAACATCCCTCCATCCTCTTTTCTCATGACTGTATTGCCTCACCTCACAAGTGACAAAGGAAATAGATGATTAACACTTCACTAATTATTATTTATCACATATGCAAAAGGAAGCTATCTTTCATTAACGTGCTTATTCTGGTATTTCTCATTTGCTTCCACACTCTTTGGATGTCTGCCAGGTTAACGTATAAAACTCTTCCTTGCTCTTCATGACCCTGTGTCTTTTTGCAGGACATGCATGTTATCAGCACTGATGAGAATCAAGTGTTTGCAGCGGTCCAAGAATGGAACCAGAATGACACGTACAACCTCTACATCTCAGACACACGTGGTGTCTACTTCACCCTGGCCTTGGAGAATGTCCAGAGCAGCAGAGGCCCTGAGGGCAATGTCATGATCGACCTCTATGAGGTATGTCATGAGGTATATGTGGTCCTAAGCCACAGCAGTGTCCAACTGGCTGATGGAAGCCTGGCATGGACTGTTTTCCTGCTCATTTTCATGCAGTTTCTTATGTGGCCTCATTTCTCTTGGGATGTGGAGAGATTTGCAGAACATTTTTACTAGTTATTTTGCAATCCACAGAACATCTCTGGGAGGGATTCTTTTTTTGATAAACTCCACAGGACATGAAGGCCCAGCAGACTTGCAGAATGTCTGGGGAGGCAGTCAATTGCAGGGTTTGATGAGAGTGGTCTGCATCTGAGGTTTGGACATAGTTCTGAAGGGCAGACAGGGCAGTGAGTAAAGGGATGGTGGATGGCACTCCCTTGTCTCTCAGAACAAAGAATGAAGGTGATAGGGTCTCCTGCATCCAGTCAGAAGACACTCCTTTTGGACTTGAACACCTTTCTGGTTAAATAAGCTCCCTTGGGTAATGGCCTTTATCTCACAGGGTCAGAGAATGAGATCAGATTAACACGTATTTTTCTCCTTAATCTAGGAAAATAAAACAAACAACGACAACAAAAGGAGCAGAGCTTAGCAGACTCTTTGTTTCTCAGAATGGCCAAGATTCAAAAGAAAATCATGTCTGTTGGATTGGTTAGCTTTCATGATAAATACCAATGCTTTAATTGCCATTGAAGACACAGTTAGCTAGAAAGAACACTGCAGCTTTGGGATGGAGTTTAGCCATTTATCAGTCTTATGCGCTATGAAGGATTTATAATAGGTTATATTTCAAATATCCTTATATTTCAAATAAGCTATTTGAAAACATTCAGAATTTGGGAAGTGCAACTGTATACCTATATTCTATCTGAAAAAATCTGAAGTGGATTTAAATATGTGCAGCCATAAGGACTCTATCATTTAGTTGAGAATAGGTGCAGTAAGTCAAGAGGTTGTTTGTACAAGAAGTAAGGGTATATCCAGCATGAAAGAAACTCATTTCACTTAAGAAATTTTAACCTATCATTGTAGTTATTTTTAATGTGTTCTATCTTCCTTCTCCTTCGGAGGTTCTTAGTGATTTTCTTCTATCTAAACTTCTCTGTATGTATAAAAGCATATTCATAAACTATATGCCAAATTTAGAGCTGAAGTATTTGTAATAGAAATTGTGGCAGACTAGGATAGGGTACGGTTTATGTGTATGTGTTTAGAAAAAGGCACTACAAGCTTTTCCATACTTTCTTTTTATGTATTTATATTATACTTTAAGTTCTTGGATACACGTGCAGATCGTGCAGGATTGTTACATAGGTATACACGTGCCATGGTGGTTTGCTGCATCCATGCCCCATCATCTACATTGGTATTTCTCCTTGTCAGCCCTCCCCAGTCCCCCAACCTGCTGCTATCCTGCCCCACCCGACAACAGGCCCAGGTATGTGATGTTCCCCTCCCTGTGTCCATGTGTTCTCATTGTTCAACACCCACTTATGAGTGAGAACATGCGGTGTTTGGTTCTGTTCTTGTGTCAGTTTGCTGAGAATGATGGTGTCCAGGTTCATCCATGTCCCTGCAAAGAACATGAACACATCTTTTTATGACTGTGTAGTATTCCATGGTATATATGTGCCACATTTTCTTTATCCAGGCTATCATTGATGGGAATTTGGGTTGGTTCCAAGTCTTTGCTATTGTAAACAGTGCCTCAATGAACATACATATGCATGTGTCTTTATAGTAGAACAATTTATAATCCTTTGGGTATATATCCAGTAATGGGATTGCTGGGTCAAATGGTATTTGTGTTTCTAGATCCTTGAGGAATCGCCACACTGTTGTCCACAATGGTTGAACTAGTTTACACTTCCATCAACAGTGTAAAAGTGTTCCTATTTCTCCACATCCTCTCCAGCATCTGTTGTCCCCAGATTTTTTAATGATCGCCATTCTAACTGACATGAGATGGTATACTTTCATAAGTTTTTCCACTTCTTCTCCTGCCCATGTTTCAGATCAATATAATGTCATATAGCCTCAAACTGTGTTCTAGAAGAAATTTACATACTGTGATGATTTAGTTTCAACTTCATGTTGAATAAAATTTAATTTAGAATACTGATTTTGGATTTAGGTTGCCTTAACTTAAATCGTAGCGACGCGACTTATATGTATTTTTGAGACAAATCTAGTAACTTTTTTTTTTGTGGGGGGGTTGGGGGTGGAGTCTTGCTCTGTCACTCAGGCTGAAGTGCAGTGGTGTGATCTGGGCTTGCTGCAACCTCCACCTCCTGGGTTCAAGCCATTCTTCTGCCTCAGCCTCCCAGGTAACTGGGACTATAGGCATGTACCACCACACCTGGCTAATTTTTAAATCCTGTAATTTCTGAGCCACACTTTCCTTGTTTAAAATATGGAGATAAACATGATACCTACTAGATATGATTTTTCTGAGGATTAAATGAGTTAATTCTTTTAAAACACTGAGCACAGTGCCTAAAGTACAATAATGCTCAACAAATTATAGATAGCATCATTAATATTATGTTCCAGTATGTTCAAGCACCACTGCAGTGTTCTATCATAGCCTTTAAAGCTACCCACATTGTTTAAATGCCCGAAAACATTTATATTATTCTGGATTTCTGCATCTTCCCATATCGCAGTTAGTGTGGCCATATGACATTCTTTACACCAAGTAGTTGTCTTCTTACAAACAAGTGTAAATTACCACATTTCTTTTTTTCATTTGTAAATAGATTATACATATTTTTAACTTGAAGTGTGTTTTGTTGAAATGCCATGTTTTTTCTTGCCTTGATTCAGCACTTACAGTGAAAGTATTCTTTCTTTCCTTTTTTTTCTTTTTTTTTGAGATGGAGTCTTGCTCTGTCACCAGCCTGGAGTGCAGTGGTGTGCTTTCCACTCACTGCACCCTCTGCTTCCTGGGTTCAAGCGATTCTCCTGCCTCAGCCTCCCAAGTAGCTGGGGCTACAGACACGTGCCACCATACCCAGCTATTTTGTTTTGTATTTTTAGTAAAGACATGGTTTCTGTCGGGTGCGGTAGCTCATGCCTGTAATCCCAGCACTTTGGGAGTCCAAAGCGGTGGATCACAAGGTCAGGAGATTGAGACCATTCTGGCCAACATGGTGAAACCCCATCTCTACTAAAAATAAAAAAATTAGCTGGGCTTGGTGGTGCGCCTGTAGTCCCAGCTACTTGGGAGGCTGAGGCAGGGGAATCGCTTGAACCCAGGAAGCAGAGGGTGCAGTGAGCTGAGATCACACCACTGCACTCCAGCCTGGTGACAGAGTGAGACTCTGTTTCAAAAAATAAATAAATAAATAATAAAAATAAAGAGACGGGGTTTCACCATATTGTCCAGAATGGTCTCGATCTTCTGACCTCATAATCTGCCTGCCTTGATCCCGCAAAGTGCTGAGGTTATAGGCATGAGCCACCGTGACCAGCCTAAATGGAAGGATTCTTGCGCCGAGCATCCACTGGCAAGGTGTCAAAGCAGCTGCCCCAGCTTAATCATTCAGTTTTCTTTCCCGAACCTCATTCTATCCTTGGTCTCCCAAAAAAAGTATGCCAATTTTCAGGTTCCATTTTCCCCTTCCTGCTTATCCTCTTCCCTCTTTTTGAGTCAATATAGAATTGATTCTCTGGATAAATTTTGTTTCCTGCCAGGAATAGAAACCATTTTAATTGGTTCCTTGATGATGGGGAAAAAAATGACATGTTTAGACAGGAATGGCTTTGCAGTGTCTTGTTATTTGCAACTATTTTCGTGACTTTTTCTGAATTCAGACCATCTGTAACAGGTATGGAATGAAAAGAGGAAACAGGGCAACCTCTGGACATGCCATACATTGCTTTGTTAATCCTGTGTTTCCCCTTTGTGCCTCTCTTGCAGTTCACTATCTGTAGGGAAACTTCTGGCTCTTATCATCATTTTGAGCAGTGGTATGACTGTATTATGTAAAGGTGCTCTGCATCCTGGGGCTGGGAGACAGGAGTCTTTGTTTTATTAGCCTGACAGTTCACAGCAACTTGAATTGAAATTGATGTGATCAGAACGGTAGCACCGTGTCTGCTGATTACCTAGATAGAAAGAATATTGGCTGACACGGAGCCTGGCACAAATGTTCCCTTAAATCTGATTGTTCTGGCTAGCAGGAAGCTGAAAGCCATCCAGCATGAATTTCCCAGTAGAATTGTAATGAATGATGAGAGCTTAGAAATAAATGAAAAGTAAGAAAATCCATCAATGAATTACTAAGGAGCAAAGATGAGAACACACGAGGTGGGGGTTATAGAGATAACCTACATGGAGTGCATGTCCGTTCACATTTGGGGTAGCTGAGGAGGATGGCCTTTGTTCTTTGTTTGTATGCTTCTGCATGCCAATTATGTGCTATTCCTGCATTTATGAGTTCTTCAGGCTATTTTAGCCGAGGTGAATTGTATAATGTATAAACGTGTGGATGGGTCTGTGTATCAAGGATGTTCATTGCTGATGGGTCTTTGTAAAAATGCAGATGGAGGCACTGTGCTCATTAACATTGAGCATTTTGTTTGCACGTATATTGGAATCTGGCTACAGATTCTGTGTTCTCTACTCTAGGACTATGTGTATATGTGGAATGAGAGAGAGATGCTGGGGACAAAGTGTTGGGGATAAAGTCTTATGTGATTTAGTTATTGAAATACCAGAGTTTTCCATCAGTGTGAATTGGACTCCATTCAAGAGAATCAAGAAATGAGAGCCAGGAAAGTTGGCATCAGAGCAAAAATACTAGAAATGGCTTTTTGTTGATATCATTAATAATGGCTGATTTTGGGGCCACTTTGTACCAGGCATGGTGTAAAGAACCTTTAATAACTGTCTCATTCAATGCATACATTAGCTTTATGATGTAGGGACTGTTGTCACTTCCACTTCAGATATATGTAAATGGAGGCAGAGAAAATACAGCAACTTTTGCAGGACCCCAAAAATAGTAGGTGGC